GGGGGTGCGGCACGGGCGGGGGTGGAGGTGGCGGTCAGCGCGCAGGCCGGGCAGCTCTCGGGCCGTCCAGGCTCGTCTCCCGCGCGGCCCTCGTGTCCTGGCTTGTGCGCGGAGGTGCTCCCTGGGCCGTGACGCAGCCGTGACGCGCGGTCTCCCGCAGGACGAGCAGAAGGCGGAGGACGAGCTGGCCAAGAAGCGCGCGGCCTTCCTGCTGAAGCAGCAGCGCAAGGCGGAGGAGGCGCGCATGCGCAAGCAGCAGCTGGAGGCCGAGGTGGAGCTCAAGCGGGACGAAGCCCGGTGAGCCTGCGGCCACGGAGCCCGGGAACGGACAGTGCTTGGATCTGGCCGCGGGGGTCCTGCATGGGCACGGTGGCTCCTCTCTGCTGGCTGCGCATCACGGTCACGTGGACGGCCAGTCCTGCTCCTGGTGGCTGGAGGTCACTCGGTGCCTGTCTTGCAGGCGTAAAGCGGAGGAGGACCGGATCCGGAAGGAGGAGGAGAAGGCGCGGCGGGAGCTCATCAAGCAGGAGTACCTGCGGAGGAAGCAGCAGGAGGCCCTGGAGGAGCAGGGTCTGGGGAAGCCCAAGGCCAAGCCCAAGAGAGCGCGGCCCAAGTCCGTGCACCGCGAGGAGTCCTGCAGCGACTCGGGCCCCAAGTGCGCCTCCACACGTAAGGCCCCGGGCCATCCATGGGGAGGTGCAACGGCCACGTTTCTACGTTATCGGCCAGGGGCTTCGGAGGCCCACCGTGTGCACACGTGTGGAAGGCAGGCACCCGTGGCCCACGGTTGGGGGGCAGGAGTGTGTTTGGAGAGCTATTCACAGTCGTTGCCTGTGCCTTCTCCTGCAGCCGACAATCTGAGCCGCACCCAGTCTGGATCCAGCCTGTCCTTGGCATCTGCAGCAACCACTGAGCCAGAGAGTGTCCACTCAGGGGGCACACCTTCCCAGCGGTGAGCGGGCCAGGAAGTACCAACAGGGTGGAGACGGGTTCTGCCCGAGTCGGTGGTGCAGCTGCTGGCTTGGCCACTCAGTCGCTTGATGTGAGGTGCAGCTGTGTCCCCTCAGCCCTGGCCCTCAGTCACTTCCTCCCCTAGCCCAGGGCCAGGCAGCATTTTGCAGAAGCAGCTGGAAACTCCCCATTGTCCTGAGATGCACCCAGGTGTGGTCCTGCACGTGGGCCTTTGTTTAGGGGCCACGCTACAGCTGGTCAGCCACCTCATTGGGCCTGTTAGAGGCAGCTCATTGATCAGGGCCTCATTCCGGGTGCAGGCTCTGTGCTGGTCACACCCTCTGTAAGGGGCAAATAGTGCATCAGTGTGCCGGGTTCATGCCCTCCACTGGAGTCGTGCCCTCTCCGGGGTCATTCCTGTGCTGAGGACACGGCTCCCTGCAGGCCACACGCCCGGCTGAGCTGACCGTGCTGTGACAAGGTAGCCGCAGTGTGGTGTCCTGCTGCCCCGTCTGCTCTGGGCTTCTCCCATCGTGGTGTGTCTCAGGGGCCGGCTCTCAGTCTGGGCTCTGCAATAGGCAGGAGCTGTGCGCCATGCCCAGCGCACCAGTTGGTGTCCTTAGGGTCCTTAGTGCTGCCTGGCCGCCTGCTTTGGTGTCGCCATTGTCCCTTCCTTTCAGGGTGGTCAGTGGGCCCTTCACAGTGAAAAGCTTTTGAGGAGGAGTTCGGGTTTGTCTTAATGGCACTGACCTCTGGCTCTTGGCTTTATGGCAAAGGTGCCCAGTCTGTCCCTCTGCCCCCGTGCTCCTTGGAAGGGAGTGCACCTCTGTCCCCCCGTCTGTCCCTTGTCTCCACAAAGACACCTTTGTCTGCTGGACATGGCTGTCTTCTTGCAGCCAGTGTTTCCGGGCTGTGTGGACGATGGTTTTCTGGGACGGGTTGTTTCTTCTTCTGAAGAGCTAGTTTCCCTCCCTCACTTGACGGCACCCGGACCGTGCTTGGTCCTCTTGCTGTGAGCCCGGCCGGTCTTCTGCACTCCTGTCAGCTGCACTTGGGAGGCACCTGTGGAGGAGCTGAGGGTCATTCCACACAGTCCTGTCTGGTGACCCTGCTTTGGCAGCGGCCGCCCTCCCGGGTGTAGTTGCCATGCAGCAGCGATGGACAATGCATGAGGCCGCTCCTTCCACGCTGAAAGCTGAGGCTTTGCACTGTGTCCTTGACCCAGGGGCCATTGCTGTGTGTGCAGAGGGCGTGGGCAGCGTCCAGGCACTGCCAGCCCTGTCGTTCTCACACTGTGCTCGGAGGAGGGAGCTGCTTGCACACGGCTGCAGGGATGGTGCTGACCAGAGGGAGGAGCAGTGTGGCCCTGCACCTGACCTCCCTCTTTGCATCCCCTCTCGTCGCAGAGTGGAGTCACTGGAAGCTCTGCCCACTCTGAGCCGGAACCCGAGCAGAAGCACAGACCGGGACTGGGAGACAGCGTCCGCGGCCTCCTCTCTCGCCTCAGTGGCCGAGTACACAGGTAACACTGGCCTGTGCTGAGGGGATGCGGCTGGGCCCGGCCCTGCTTTCATCTCCAGGGTCCTTCCTGGAGTACCTCCTCTCCATCTTCAGTCTTGTTTTCCAAAGTTTTATGCTTTCAAAAGTCATAGGGATAAGACCCTGCTGCTGCTTTGCACCTCAGTGACAGGTGGCCGTGAAGTCCACGGTGCAGGCAAGCAGGATGCAGCTGGGGTGGTCGGGCCTGGGCCTGCTGGCTGGGCTGTGGCCTGCACTTAGGTAATGAGGTCCTCTGTCCATTTCTGAGTGTCGATGTGGTCATTTTCCGTTTTCACAGAATACTGAGTTTTTTCTGATGATCTGGTCTTTGGAACCACTTTTCTTATTGATGACTGAAGAATAGGTGTGAATGTTTGTCGCTCATCTCAGAGCGTCACCTGTCCCTGAGCTGTATGTACAGATGAGGTTGACTTGGTGTTCGCTTAGCTGCGTATTTCCTCAACCGCAACAGAATTTGTCTATTTTATTTTTTAACTTAAAAGTGGAAAAAATTATTCGCTGGTGACCCAGAGAAACTTTTATTCCATTGATCTGGGTATGTTCCTAAAAATAAATATAGCATCCAGAGGACTGGGGGGCTGTGTGACCTGTGGGGCTGCTTAGTAATGTGAGGAAAGAGTCCTGAAGTCCTGCTGCCCCATCATGCCAACAGGACGGGCAGGGGTCACACGTTGACCCATCGTGCTACATGGGACGGGCAGAGGTCACGTGCTGACCCATCATGCTACATGGGACGGGCAGGGGTCACGTGCTGACCCTTGAGTGTGTCCTTTTAATAATAAACTACAGTTAACAAGTGAGAGAATTACTGGTTAAGGACCTCTGGTGGCTTAATATGCACCATATCAGGCTGGTATCTGAAAGGCCAGGGGTTCATATCCGTTGAGCGCACCACAGGAGAAAGATTTCTAGGATCGCTGAGTGGGAACCACTTGGTGCCTGTGGGTAAATTGTTACTGTAAGGCTTCTCTGTTGCCTGCTTTTCTGGACCTTGGGAGCTCTGGAAGGTGTGCACGCGCGCTGTGTGTGTGTTAGTGCACGTACACTCTTGCATGCACATCTTTACATGGACCTTACAATGCTGACCACACCCTGGACTGTCCTCACAGGGCCGAAGCTCTTCAAGGAGCCCAGCAGCAAGTCCAACAAGCCCATCATCCACAATGCCATCTCACACTGCTGCCTGGCGGGGAAGGTCAACGAACCACACAAGAACTCCATATTAGAGGCAAGTGCCCACTCACTGGTGATCAGAGATGGGGTCAAAGCCAAGGGCAGGTTCAGGGTTCTTGTACAAGACAGCATCCTAGGTGTTTGTGTCTGAGGCCTCCATAGATTGTGGAACTTTCCCGCCCTCCCACTGGTGGGGCTAGGCCTTCTCATTACCCAGCAAGGGTCCCGTACAAGAGTGAAGACTTTTGAAAGGAAAGTGGCACTGAGACAGACAGAGACTCGGGTGAGCCGGTCTCCAGAGGTGCAGAACTGGGTTCAGAGGACACCTCCCAGCTGTGGGAAGCAGGCTGGTGTGTTCAAGGGGGGAGCTGGGCTGGGAGAGCCAGGGGAGGGGAAGGCGGCTGGGCACCGGGGTGCAGATTTGTGGGGCAGAGGCAGTGAAAACTTAGGTCAAAGGAAAAACCCAGTGGAGGGAGGGGCACACGGTTCTGGTAGGGGCCAAGCGTCACAGGAGCTCACACTTGGACACTCACCTGAGAGGCCCACCCGTTGTCCACTGTCTGTGCCACGGCCATGTGTCTCCCCTGTGGTGTCTGACTTCTGTTCTCCCTTTCACGTGGTTTATCTGGCTACAGGGAGTGTTGTAGATACATTTTTAGATCTGCTTTTTTTCACTTAGTCTTTGAGAAATATTTATTGGCTTACTTAAAATAATAGTAAACCTTAGCCTCTGAGGCCAGAAGGACTAGGTGGTGCCCATCTGCCAACACTGTCCACTCCTTTACAAGAGCTCAGCGGTGGAAGATTCTGAATGGAGTGAGAGAATATATGGTGGTGTGCTGGGGAGACCTCAGAACCCCCCCATGAAAAGCGAGGGTTTACTCATCTAACAGGGACTGATGGACCATCAGGGATTAGGCCCTTGATCACCCTTCAGCCCTATAATAGAACTCAGCCCAGTTTGCAGCCAGGCAGTGACCCTGTCTGCAAGGTGTCCAGTAACGCCAGAGGCTCTCAGTCCTTAGAACAACCACGCAGGTGTGGTCAGAAGAGCAACGTTTGCCCAGAAGGAAACCCTAGAGGTCAGGAAGAGCTAGAATAGAAGACTTGATGGAGTTCTCATTTCCAGCAGTGGAAATGGGGAAGAAAGTGCATGTATGTTACGGGCATCACGAACCAAAATGTGGATGAATAGCTCTGAATAAAATCCCAGTTCACTTTGTAAGCTTTCGTGTACATCACAATTGTGTCTGCCCGTGTCTAGATCTGTGTGAGTCCTAACAAATGACGGCTGACATTGAGAGGAATGGGATCTCAGGGCACTTTCTTACGGTCATGTGCAACCTCGACCTCAACCGAGAAGTTGTTGAAGCAGAAAAGGGAACACTGCATGATTTCCAGTCCGGAGAGGTGTGAGTCGGGGGTAGCCTTCCTGCACACCTGTTGGGTGTGTGTGCTGAGCAAATCACTGGAGAAGCTGGACTCCTACCGAGAGTGTGACGTCAGGACTGGAGGGAGACTTGTCATCACATTGTGTTGTGCACATAAAAGTGAAGAGTGCTTTAAGAACTTGTTGCAGAAGATGAAAGACGACAGCCTTCAGTAGGACGGGAAGATTCCACCTGGACGTGAAGGAAACAAGTCCTTACCCCTGGGTCAGTCGGCAGCACCGTGATAGATGGAGGTGACCGAAGGGGTTTGTCAGTGATTTCATTTTCCTTCAGGACCTTTGGAGATGTCAGTCCGGAAAGCAGAAGACGTGTTGTGCGGGGAGTGTGCTGTCCAGGACCTCTGCAGGGTGCTGACTCGACAGCAGTGAACTAGAGCTCTGGGGGTGACTAAGATTAGAAGAGCCCGAAAAACTGCGCAGTCGCATGGTGGTGAGGCTGTGGGGTGTTGGACTGTTGCTGAAGAGGATGAAGGTTGATACAGCCCGTGAGGGTGACGGTTCTCAGGGACCTGAGCACAGAGCTGCGTCGGCTCACAGTGACCCTGTGCTGCGACCTGAAACCTCCGCTGTGCCCCTGCCCGCTGCCACATGGCGTTAGTGCCAGCTCCTGGTAACACGTACCCACACGTGAGGCGGCGGCATGACGCCCTTGCTTCTCAGGACCCGCTGACTGTGCTGCTTCCCACACAGGTTGGGTTGTGGTTTGAGGCACTTCGCGGTGTACGTATTACTCTTTGCCAACACAATTCAAATTCTTCTTCAGTTTTCTTACTCATTGTCCAGCTTTCCCTGTGTATGGAGTGATTGAAAATACCACAGCTTGGGCCAGGGGAGTTTTTGTCCTCAAGGAATGTTGTTAGGTGTCGTCGGGTCGAGCACGACTCATAGTGACCCCATGAACAAAAGATCTGGACCCCGTCCTGTCCTGCGCCGTCCTCACACTTCCGGACACACAAGAGCCCATGGCAGCAGTCACCGTGTCAGTCCACCTGGTTGAGGGTCTTCCTCTCCTTCGGTGACCCTCCACCCTTCCCAGCATCATGTCCCTCTCGAAGAATAGTCCTTCGTAGCAAAATGCCCCAAGTTTGTGAAGCAAAGCCTCATCTTTCTGACCTCCAGAGAGCACTCCTGCTGCACCCTCTCCAAGACGCACCTGTTCTCTTGGCTGCCCATGGGATGCTCAGTGCTCTTCTCCAACACCACAGCTCAAAGGCCTCAATTATTTTTCTTTCATCCGTATTCACTGTCCAGCTCTCAGATGCACAGTAAGTAATCGGAAAGACCATGGCCTGAATCAGATGCACCTTAGCCTTCAAACTGATATCATTACCTCTAAACAATTTGGAGAGGTCCTGACCTGCAGATTTTCCCGGTGCAGTGCGTCTCCTTATGTAATCTGGTATACTCTGCAGGGAATGAAAAACAGAAGAACAGTGTTGCATTCATAGTCAAAAAGTCAATTTCAAGTTCTGTCCTGAAATACAATGTGGTGAGTGATAGGATAATATCCGTGGGTATACAAGGAAAACCCATTAACACGACTACTAAAATATATGCTTCTAAATGTAGAGCCAAAGAGAAAGAAATTGAGAATTTTTACCAAATCTTGCAGGCTGAAATTGGCAGAACGTGCAGTCAAGATGCGTTCATGATAACTGGTGACTGGAATGCAAAAGTGGGAAGCTGAAGACATGGGCGTGGTGACAGAAATGAGGCTGGAAATTATTCAATTTTGTATTTACAATGATTTATTCATTGCAAATATCTTTTTTTAAAAGGATACAAATAACAGCTTTACATGTGGATCTCACCTGATAGGCTGCACAGGAATCAGATTGACCACATGGGTGGAAGGAACCACTGGAGAAGCTAAATATCAGCAGTCAAAACCGGGGCAGACTGTGGGTCAGACCATCAAACACTCATATACAAGCTCAGATTGAAGAAAATTAAAATAAGTTCTCAGGAACGAAGATAGGATCTTGAATCAATCCCATCTGAATTTCATGGTCATCTTAAGAATAGATTTGAGGCATTAAACACCAGTGATCAAAAACCAGACAAGTTGTGGGATGACATCAAGGATATTGTCAGTGCAGAAAACAAGAGACCCCAAGGAATAGAGCGTGCTTGGTTAAAATAGGAAGACCGTAACCATGGCGCCCAGCGCAGGGCTGCACCCAGAGGAGCTGCTGGGTCAGCTCTGACCACGTGTAGAACGGAACCGGACTCTGCTCGATTCTGGGCTGCTCTCGGCGTCTGCGCTCAGCTCAGGCCCATTCTTGCAGTGTCTGTTCCATTTTTGCAGTTCCTCTCATTGAGCGTCCTCTTTTGCTGACCCTTCACTCTCCCATCACGATGGTTTTCCCCCAAGGTGGACATGAGATGACGTGTCACTGTCTGCCCAAGGACGACGCTCGCTGCACATTCTCCAAGACAAATGTGTCTGTTCTTTGGACAAACAAGGTTCAGCAGAGCATCCAGACTGGCCACCCACTTCTGACATCGTGGGTCTTGGAAATCTTGAGGTGCAGGGGAGCGTTGTCTGATACGGTGCTGGAGGACAAGCCCCTCAGGTTGGAAGGCAGCTGGACGCTGTGAAGGAAGATCTGCCTCCTCAACGTTGTTGTGGTTGTTATGTGCCATTGAGTCACCTGCGACTCACAGCGACCATCAGTACAACAGCCCTAACTCTGTTCTGTGCCAGGCGCACTGTCCCTGACACACCTACCCCCATTACCCCAGCCACGGGAGTCAGTCCATCTCATCGAGGGCCTTCCTCTCCTGCGCTGTCCCTCCACCCTCCCAAGCATGACGTCCCTCTCCAAGGACTAGTCCCTCCTAACATGTCCAAAGTATGTCAGACGAAGCCCCAGAATCCTGGCCTCCAAGGGGCAGCCTGTTTCACCGTCTGTAGGACAAATCTATTAGCAGTCCATGGTATATTCAATACTCTTCTCAGTACCACAGCTTAAAGACATCAGTCCTCCTGTCTTCCCTAGGAAGAATGATGGAATTTTGCACAGTCAACGATTTATTCATTGCAAGTAGGCTTTATAAGAAACGTAAATGCAGGCTGTACACGTAGATTTCACCTGATGGGTCTGGTCGGTCAGGTGCTGATTGTGGAACAGACCACCAAATACTCATATGCAAGTTCAAGCTGAAGATAAGGAAAGGTAAATCAAAGCCATGGGAACCAAAATTTGACCTTGAGTCTATCTCATCTGAATTTCAAAACCATCTCAGGAACAGGTTTGAGGCCTTGGACTAATGAATGAAGAGATGAGCTGTGGGTGTATATAAAGACTATCATCCAGAAGAATGTAAAAGGTCATTACAAAGACGGGAGGAAGAAAAGACCAAGGCCGGTGTCAGAAGAGACTGAGTATTCCTCTAGAGCACAGAGGAGCCAAAGCAAAGGGAAGAAATCAAGATACAAAGGAACTGAAGAGAAGATTCCAAAGAGCAGTTCAGGAAGACAAAGTCAAGTATTAGTAATGAAATGTGCAAAGAGCTGGAGGCAGAAAATTAAAGGGTCCAAACTCACTCAGCATTCTTTTTTTTGTAAGCACGAATATTTCATGTTTGTATGCACATGTGCGGGTTTTTTTTATTTTAATGAAAGTTTATAGAGACTTAGGGTTTCCAGTCATTCATTGTTGCACTTTTCAACGTACCCACCCCCCTCCCCCATTTCACTCTTCTCCTTGAAAGAAAAACTCTTTCATTGTTATGCAGTTCCCCCCCCCCCAAGTCCACTACACTATGCAGCCTTCACTCTGGACTTCTGTAATGACAAGAATACCCATTCATATGTCCCCTTTAAACAGATCTCTCCCTCATCTGCTTCACTGCAGTATACATCATTCCTCCCCTCCTTCTCTGTCTTCTCTCAACCCTGATGTCAGTTCCATTTTACAACAGTGGCCCTATGCAATATTTGTCCTTTTGTGACTTAGATATTTCACTCAGCATAATGCCTTCCAGGGTCACCTGTTTTGTATAATAGTTCCTTGTTTTCAGTGCTGCATAATATTCCATTGTGTGAATATACCAGGGTTTCTCTATCCATTCCTTTGCTGATGGGCACTTGGGTTGTTTCCAGCTCTTTGCTATTGGGAACAAAGCCGTGATAAACATGGGTGTGCATCTATCTGCTTGGGTGGCAGTTATGGTCTCTTTGGGGTATATTCCCAGTAGTGGAATTGCTGGGTCAAATGGTATCTCTATTTGCAACTTTTTGAGAAAGCGCCATATCGCCTTCCACAGGGGTTGCACTATTTTACACTCCCACCAACAGTGAATAAGGGTTCCAGTTTCTCCACCACCTCGCCAGCATTTGATGTTTGCTGTTCTGCTAAATTTTGAATTGGATTTTCGTTTTCTTGATGTGAAATGCAAGCCACACTGAAGGCTGCAGCCCTGGGTCTTCTGCAACAAACATTTCAAATCCTCTTCGGTTTCACCAAGCAAGGTGTCGTCACTGGCGAAACGCAGGTTGCTGTGAGTCTTCCTTGAACCTTGATGCCATATTCATTCTTCTTCATAAAGTACAGTCTCCTCAATGATCTGTTCTGCCTGTAGACTGAAAAGGACACTTCCCTGATGGACTCCTTTCATGATTTTGAACCATGCAGTGTTCCCCTGCTCTCTCTGGACAAGTTTCTTGGTTTAGGTAAAGGTTTTACATGATCCTTGGACATGTAACTGTTGTTGTTATGTAACATCAAGTCAAAGTTGACTCATCGCGACCCCATCAACCAAAGATTGGAACCCTGTTCTACTCTGCGCCATCCTCACATTTCCTGACACACAAGAGCCCACTGCAGCAGTCACCACGTCAGTCCATCTACTCAAAGGTCTTCCTCTCCTTTGCTGACCCTCCACCCTTCCCAGCATCATTTCCGTCTCCAAGGAACAGCCCCTCCCAGCTACATGCCCAGATTATGTGAGGTGAAGCCTCATTGTTCTTGTTTCCAAAGAGCACTCCTGCTGCACCCTCTCCAAGACATATCTGTTCTCCTGGCCGTCCATGGGATGTTCAGTGCTCTTCTCCACAGCTCACAGGCATCAGTTCTTCTGTCCTCCTTTTCCACTGTCCAGTTCTCAGATGCATGGCAAGAGATCATTAAGACTATGGCCTGAATCAGATGCACCTTAGTCCTCAGAGAGGTCCCTGACTGTAGACTTTCCCAGTGCAGTGTGTCTCCTTATTTCCTGACTCCTGGTACCAAGGGTGTTAACTGTGGATCCAAGCAAAATGAAACTGTTGACAGTTTCAATCTCCTCTCCATCTATCTTGATGCTGCCAATCAGTTCTGTGGAAAGAATTTTTGTTTTCTTGACATTGAGCTGCAACCCATACCAAAGGTTGTTTGATTTAATTGAAAGGTGAGTGTAAACTGTTTGCGAGTATAAATAGCTTGGTTGTTTTTTATTAACCATCAAGTGTAAGCTGATTGGTCATTTCTCAATCAGCTGTGGGTTGGAAGCCTCTTGTTTAAACCAGTCAGGACCTGGCAGGGGGGCTTTTGTATTTAAAAGTTGGTTGGGTCCTGCCTGACAGTCCCCAGATTAGAGCTTCCTGTGTGAAGCAGTTGGATTTGGGAAGGTAGTTGTTCTGATTTAATTTCAAGTCAGATAGAAACTGTTCGGTAGTTTTTTTTATTTAGTTAATAAACAAGTGTAAAGTGATTGGTCATTCTGATTTAGTTAACAGTCAGCTGTGGGCTGAAAGGCTCTTGCTTTAACCAATCAGGACCTGGTGGACAGGCCTTTGTAATTGTCAGTTGGTATTAACTGTGTTTGGGGAGAACATGGTTCTGAGTGGTACAACACTTGTCTGTCAGGTTTGCTGTACTGAGATAACTTGAGGTTGCTGTGGTGCTGAGAGCTGCGCCACTGCCGTGTCAACTGTCAGAAGGGTTCGCCGTGGTGGGCAGGTTTTGGTGGAGCTCCCAGATTAAGACAGAGTAGGAAGCAGGACTGGCCATCCGCTTCTTAAAGAAGAGGACTTGGAAAACCTCATGAACACCAGAACAGGGGGGGACTGTTATAGTGGTGTAGTGGTAGGACCCAGATTGGAAGTCAGTTGAAATGAGGAAAAATAACAAACATCGTTTAATAATTGAAACATGGGATAGATATAGCTTAAGTGTTGGTAAACTGGAAATTGTTAAAAATGAAATGGAACACATGAACATTGACATATTAGGGATTAGTGAGACGAGCTGGACCAGCTTTGGCCACTCTCAGTCAGACGTGTTCCTAGAAGAGGGTATTCTTTAAAAGGTACACCATGCATCACAACAGTGGAATGGGGTGGGGGTGGGAATTGTACAACAATGAAAGAATTTTTTTCTCAGAAAAGTGAACTGGGGAGCCAGGGAGGAAAATGTGCAACAATAAATAAATTAAAATCCAAGTTCTCTGTAATCCATGGGGACTTTCCTGATGGAGAACACAGGAATGAAATCTGCTGGGACAGTAGAAGAGCTTAACGTCAGCATTCAGAACACAGCCAAGGGCTGCCATGTCCCACAGCAGCAGTTCTCATTACAAGTTCTGATTCAAGCTGGAGAAGGTGAGAAAGAAATCCGTCAGAGCCAAATTACGGTGGTGAGCATCTCCCACTCCAACTTAGAAGACGTTTTAAGAGGCTTGAAATAATTGATCACTAATAAATGCAGACTAGACAGATTGCTGGATGCCGTCAAGAACATCATACGTGAAGAAAGTGAAAGGCCATTAAAAAGAGAGACCAAAATGATTGTCAGAAGAGACTTTGAAACTTGCTCTTGAACGTAGAGAAGCTAAAGCAAAAGAAAAAATGAAACAGTAGATTTCAGGGCAAAATATTGTCATAACATTTGCAAAGCCAGTTAGAAAACCAAAAGGGAAGGACACACTTGACATTTCTAAAGCTAAAAAAGACTGAAGATCCCTCCAGCCCTCACTTCCAATGTGGTGAAGGGATAATCAACAGTTGTGCAGAGTTCAGTGTGAAATGGGCTGCGTGGAGCTGGACTGTTCACGGCATGGGGGCAGGGAACTGTCCTCGTGAAGCCAGAAGGACAGAACCCCCCGCCCAGATGGAGAGGCCTGCAGGTTCTGTCCCGCAAAGCCAGAGCCCTCGATGGCTGAAAAAGAAAGTGGAGATTGTACTTTAAAAAAAAAAAGAGCAAATTTGTCTCATGGTAATTAAAGATACTGGGGGAAGTTATTAAGTGACATGGGAGCATCAAAGGAAGGTAAGGAATGCATGCAGCTGCTCTTCCAAAAACATGGTCAATACCGGGTCATTTCAAGAAGTAACACGGCATCAAGGATAGTGAAGGAAGGGGTCCAGGCTGCATGGGAGGAATTGGCAAAAATAAGCCTGCAGAAATTGATGAGGTACCAATTGCGTTGTTTCAGCAAACAGATGTAGCCTGGATATGCTCACGTCCATGCCAAGAAATTTGGAAGAAAACTATGTGATCTGTCATGTAGGAAAGATCGTATTTGTGCCTATTTTATAAAGATGGTTCTGCAGTGCCAGACAATGTCATTCATGTCACATGCAAATAAAACCTTGCTGATGATTTTTATATATTACAAAAAGCAATATATTGACAAGAGAACTCCTGGATTTTAAGTTCAGAGGGGTCATGAGCAAGAGATATGCTTGCTGGTGGCAGGTGGGTCTTGGATAAGAGCAGAGAATACCAGATTCTCTCTCTGTCTTTTATTGATTTTTCAAAGGCTTTTGACTGTGTGGACCATAAAATAATTAGGTAAGATTACAAATTGTGGGACTTCTGAGGTACTTGCCCACCGTCGCGTAGAACCTGTACATAGACTGAAGTGGTCATTGGACCAGAACACGGAAACACTGCATGTTTAAAACCAGAAAGGGGGATGTTGGGGGAGGTTCTGAACATAGAGTGTGAGTAGGGGACCGTCTACAGCAAGTGCATGGGGAACAGTATACGGGGGGGGGGGGACAGTCCACGGTGTGTGAGTGGGGACACTCTGCAGCAAGTGCGTGGGGGACCGTTGCCTGGAGTGTCTGTCCGAGTGCACCTGGTTACTATTGGCGTGACCATCTCGGCCTCTTACGCATCTGCCTTTCTTCCTTCACACAGGAGCTGGTGGGGGACAGTGTACCGCGTTTGCATAGGGGACCGTTGACCAGGAATTTTCCTCCGAGCGCACCTGGTCACTGCCGGCATGGCCATCCTGGGCTCTTACACATCTCCCTCTCTCCCTTCACATAGGAGCTGGAAAAGTGTGACGCCAACCACTACATCATCCTCTTCAGGGACGCGGGCTGTCAGTTCCGGGCGCTCTACTGCTACTACCCCGACAGCGAGGAGATCTACAAGCTGACCGGCACGGGTCCCAAGAGCGTCACCAAGAGAATGATTGACAAACTGTACAAATACAGCTCAGACCGAAAACAGTTCAACCTGATTCCAGCAAAAACCATGTCTGTCAGCGTGGACGCACTCACCATACACAACCACCTATGGCAGCCCAAGCGGCCGGCCGTGCCAAAGAAGACGCAGACTCGAAAGTGACCCCTGTGGCCCCAGAGCGGGGCCTGCTGCACTGATAGGTGGCCATCCCCTTGGGCATGAACAACGACCGGAAGCCCCTCCCCAGCTCCCTGCACACACGGGTGTGGTGCAGTGGGACGGAAGGGCACTGCGTGCTGGTGACGTGGGCGCAGCCAGCCTGCCCCCCGACCGGGCGCTGGGGCGAGGTGCAGGCTGCCTCCTTTTACTTGAAGCCCCTCTGGGGTGGGGAATGACGGTCTGGGTTGCTCTTCTGATCTCTGCTCTCACCCCTTTGCACGTCCCCGGTACCCCTCACCTTGGCAGGAGTGTTCCGTGAGGTCACAGTGCCAGTAGGGATGGGGGTCAAGATGTCTGAGCGTTTCTGGAAAAGGGAACCTTTTCACCTGAGGAATCGTGTGGTATTCGTGGATCGTGTCCACTGCCAGTGTTTACACCGGCCCTGAGATCCGGGACAGGTCCGTGTACTCTGCTGCTCAGCTTCCTGCTTAGGCCAGCTCGGTCCGCAAGGACGTGGGCGCTGTCGTGTGCATGGTGACGTCCACAGCCGTGCAGACGGCTGGCTGACCTACAGTCGTGGAGCGTGAAGGTACGAGGTGCTGGAACGGCGTCTGCAAGCCAGCACCGCGCCCTGTGGACGTGACGCTAACTCGGTTAACTTGAATAATCAGATTTTGGTAGAGTCTTTTTCACTCTGAGCATGTTCCTCTCAAAGGTGATGCACTTAGGATGGCAACTCTCGCGTGTTTCTTCTGTCACGACTCGTCCCAGCCCCCTTTGCTCTGCCCAGTTCCTACTTCTGGAAGAATGGACGGATCATTTCGTTTGGTCACATATTTGAAAATGGGAAAGCGGTTTATTTCAGTCACTACAGAGCCCCGAGGACGCGAGGTAGTCGTGGACCCTCCACGTTGCTCGGACGCTCACCAATGCTTTCCCAGGCAGATGCTGTCTAGGTACCAGCGGCCCCTCCGACTCCATTCTCGCTGGGTCCGCCCTCCGTCCACGCTGGACACCTGGACCTCCTCTGAGCCCCCTGTGGGACTCACCTGCTGCTCAGCTGCCGTGATCGGACCTGGTTGCTGGAAGACTCTGGAGTAACTCACGTTAGCTTTGCACATACTTTCTGGAAAGGGTAACTTGAACATATTTCAAACTGCAGAGGAAATGAAAGATCAGTAGAAGAGTTAGAAACGAGCATAACTGTTGAGGACTTTAGACCAGGAGTTGAGTGAGCGGTTCTCCTCGAGGGGCGAGAACGTGGCCCGGAAGCATGGGGCCTGGTGGTGGGCTGGCCTCAGCCCCCCGGCCCCTGGAGGAGAGGAGGGTCCACCGTGTTGTGCATCCCCAGCTCGCCACAGCTGTCCTGTACGTACGTGATCGCAGGCAGTGCAGCCACTCGACACCGAGTGTGACGTTGCGAGTGGACTTGGTCCCCGTGTGTCCCACGTGTGTGTGGTCCCCACTGTGCGTTTGATATTCTATTACCATATTTATTTTAAGGAAGCACTAAGATGTAATAAAGTAATGGACTAACTTGCTTTATACAGATCACACGTGTGTGAGACTGGCCACTCTTTTTCCTTGATCGGGTCTTGTCCGGCCTGGCTCCCAAGGGGCTGCCCGTCCCTGCGGTCTGGCGCCCAGAGGCTTCCTTGTGGCTTCCAGTGGGATCTCAGGGTGTGCTGGCCCCTCTGCTTTGATGGTCAAGGCCTATGGGGACTCAGGCAGCACAGGGCATTGCCGGCTGGGCTGCTCCATGGGGGTGTGTGTGTGTGTGTGTGAAGGGCTGCTCCACAGGGGATGGTCAGGAGTCCCCTCTACAAACATTCACAGCCTGGGGGCCCTGGAGGGCGCTCCTGAGAGGCCTGTGAGCCCTGGTCAACGGGAAGCACTGGCTGTGGGGGTGGTTGGAGGTCCATGAGCCGGTCAGCTGGCCAGCACTGGCTGCATTGGGAGGAGATGGGGTAGGCAGCGCTGGCTGTGGTGACGGGGTGGGTGGACAGTGCTGGCTGTGGGGGGAGGCGGAGTATGCAGCGCTGGTCTGAGCAACACTGGCTGTGGGGGTGGGGTGAGTGTGCAGTGCTGGCTGTGGGGGGAGGCGGGGTGGACAGTGCTGGCTGTGGGGTGAGTGGAGGCCCATCGGCCATCTTGGGAGGAGGATGCCCTTTGTGAGGACTTGGGGGAGCTCTTACTCACAAACTTGGGAAATCACATCCCTTGAGAACTCCCCCCAAAATGCCAGGTTTTTAAAATGCCATTAGTCGACGTGGTGCATCTGAGAAAGGCTTTTAACAGTTGGTGATTTGGGGTGTCGGGAGCAGGGAGCACAGCTCGTGTGTCATTGTGTGCATGGCCTGCAGGTCAGTGCTGACCTGGTGGCCCCAGGACATTTCCTCTGTCACACGGGCTCTGTCACCCCTGAGGCAAAGCTCGGTGCACAGCCTTCCATCCGAGCTGGTGGGATTAGGGTCCCTCCGGCACTGGGAGCAGCCTGGCCACCACCTGTAGGGTGGAGCTGCAGCCCACGGCCCTGTGGTGGCCACGCTGTGCGAAGCTGCTCTGCGATGTCATCCTCGGAGGGCAGCAGGTGTGAGAGGAGACACCCTCTTCTGCCTGTGTCAGAACTTTGGAAAAGATCGTGTCTGCAAGTGACTGGCCTTGTGGGGAGGGGGACTTGGTGACGACATAGAAAGAGGCCCCAGAGGGTTAAGGTGAGTGAAACGTGTGTGAAGAGTTCCGTTTAAGAACAGGCACACATGCTGTGTTCACACCTGTGAGCATAGATGTGTGCAGACACTACCTGTGCATATGGACATGTGTGGTACGTGCACATGCTGTGTTCACACCTGTACATGTGGACGTGTGTGCTGTGTTCTCACCTGTGTGTGTGGTGCGTGCACATGCTGTGTTCACACCTGTGTGTGTGCGGTGTGCACACATGCTGTGTTCACACCTGTGCGTGTGGACGTGTGCTGTGTTCACACCTGTGCGTGTGGTGCGCGCACATGCTGTGTTCACACCTGTGTGTGTGGTGCGCGCACATGCTATGTTCACACCTGTGCGTGTGGACGTGTGCTGTGTTCACACCTGTGTGTGGTGTGCGCACATGCTGTGTTCACACCTGGGCGTGTAGATATGTGTGGTGTGTTCACACCTGTCCGTGTGCCAGAGGTGAGCCACTTGTGAGTGTCCATGTCCCTGCTTTGTGGACTCCACGCCCTGAGGACAGCCTTCACCCGGCGCAGTGGACGGAGGAGTGCATGGGAGGATACTGGCCATTATTCAGGAGTGGTCAGTCAGGGAAGAGCCTTGTGTTGAGGGCAAGGCTGTCGCTGCCCCGCAGTGGACATGGACAGGACCTGGGGCAAGAGGAGGGCCTGGAGCCGTCTCCTCGCTCGTCCACTGGAAGTTGTTTCTGCTGCCATGTGGATGTTAGGGTCTGTGCTGTGTCCTGAGTAGGGCCACCACACGATCTACCTGGTGGCTGCACTTGGTCCTGGCTTCACTGTGAGATGGATGCCTCCCTGAGGTGGCTTGGAGGGTACTGCGTGGCCAGCAGAGCCTTGCTAGGCACTGTCCAGTGTCCACTTGCCACGGTGTGTCACACCAGGGGCCTGGCGTGTCCTCTCCTGCAGGAAGCCTCCCGCTCTGTCCAGAGCCCCTGCAGATGCCTGCCTCACTGGCAGAGCGGCTCTGACTTTCTGAGTCATCGCGGAATAGGAAGGAATTCTTTCAGGGCTGCTAGCATGGGAGTGAGACAGGATGGGCAGACATAGGGACATCGTGACCGCTGGAGTGTGGTGACCCCGCAGGGCCTGTGATGGACAATGTGGATAGCACTTTCCCCACCGCTCCTGGGCACCCTCAGGGACACGGTCCCTTCTGAGAGTCCAGGGAGCAGCCCACCTATGAAGAAGGGAGCGTATTGTCTTGGTTTCTTGGCTGTTGGTACTAAGGGTGTTAACTGCAGATCCAAATAAAATGAAATCGACAATTTCAACTTTTCCTTCATCCATCATGGTGTTGCCTGTTGGCTCAGTAGTGAGGATTTTTGTTCTCTTTTTTTTTTTAGTTGTTTTCTTGATGTTGAGATGTAATCCATATTAAAGGATGGTTATATATATATATATATATATATTATGCAGCAAGCATTTCAAATTCTTCTGTCACCAAGGAAAGACTGAATAGATGCGGAGAGAGAATACAGCCCTGACGCCCCTCGTGGTCTAGGTACAGGTTTTCCATGAGCACAGTTAAGCCTCTAGGATTCCCATTCTTCTCAAAGTTAGCCATAATTTGTTGTGACCCACATGATCAAATTCCTTTGCGTAGTCAATAAAAATACAAATAGACATCCTTCTGGTATTGCCTGCTTTCAGCCAAGATCCATCTGATAACAGCAATGATGCCTCTTCTAAATCCACTCGAGTTTCTGGCAGTGGAGGGTTGATTCCCTCGCGGCTCTAGCCGCTTTCAATAATCTTCAAGCTGTTACTTGCGTGTAATATCAATGATATGGTCTAGTTTCCACATTCTTTTGGATTCCTTTATTTGGCCCTGTTGTATGTGCATGCCATCAAGTTGAGACGGACTCGTAGCTGATCCTCCAGCAGGATTTCAGAGGCTGTAAGTCGCATGAGAGGAGACTGCCCACCTCTCTCGCATGGAGCAATGAGTGGCTTTGAACCACTTACCTTTTGGTTAGCAGCACACCCCTTCCCCACTGGACCCCTAGAGCTTCCTGGTTTGGCACTAGGTGATACTTAATCTATCCCCGAGGCTAACCTCCTGTGCCTACTACCAGATTCTACTACTTGGAATGTATTTCTCCAAGGCAAATACTTCTTAGCGTATCTCATCAGCCAATTGGAGGAGTGGCGTCCACTTCCGTAACAGCTCACCTCTGGAAACCCTATGAACCTGGAGAGAGGATGAAAGGCACCCAGGCATCGAGGACTCTCCTTCATAGGGTCGCTCGAAGTGAAGGCAATTGACAACAA